AAGTTCTCGCTTATTGCCCTCTGCAGTCCTTATTTGCATTACTAGATACATTGGACAGGATGGAGCAGATTTCGAGGAACTCGTTCCGGTTCATTCTTCTGCTCTACAGAGGATTGAACTCCCGAATAACTAATTTAATCATAATGAAATTGTAAAATTATTAAAATTTGACCAAGAGCATATGGATACATCATTCAGATGGCTCGAGTTTTTGCGAGAACAAAAAGAGGCGCAAGAAGAGCAGAAGCAGTTTAAAGCATATTGGGATCGGCGGCATGCCGAGGACAAAGATCTGTGGAGAGATAAGGTTATTTACAGCTTCACATTTCACCTCCACTGAGTTACTTATTTTTTTTTTTTTGATTAAGCTGTTTCATTAAACTTTTGACTGTTTAGGGCTGTTATGTGTATGAGTGTGTGTATCTGTATGTTTCTGTTTCTGCGTGTGTTTGTATTTGTTTCTGTATCCCTGTGGGTATGTGTCGCGTGTCGACTAAATTTACTGTCCTTATGCTAAAAAACATATCTTTTGACTAGTAATGCACGCTGTCCAAAACTCGTTTTTACTATCACTTAAACTTAAAGTTCCTGAGTAAAGTGTTTATGTTAGAAACCGAATTTGGTATTATGTAATAAATGTAGTAAGTTTGCAAATTTATGTGCGATCTCAAGAGCAAACATTTGAGTGTATTATTTTCTTAACGTCACATATTTTTCAGGACTTTGCAAATGCAATCTATAAAATGAGTCGGGCTGGTTACAAAGGTGAGCATGGCCACTTTGATGTCCCAGTGGAAACCATTGAACAGCTGAATGCACTTTATATGCAGATCACTGTTGGCGATTACGGTATCATTTTTATGCATTTACGCGTAAAATACAACCCAGGCTGAAACGCACCGGGCGGGCCCGTGCGATCATGCATTTTTGCACCGGACTTGAAGTATCAGGTCATTAATTGCATGAATGGCTTTGCTTTACACCTACCTGCTGCGGTCACTAGCATAAATCACCACAAATTTTGTAAAGTAATGTATAATTTCCATTTAACAGTCGTTCTTTAAAAGTAACCTAGTTGTTCAATAAGAAATTTTTTCGCCAAAATTTTTAAGTGCCCGTACGTAAGAACCAAGCCTACCTCAAACTGAATCTGAAATACGTAAACTGTACTTGGGACTGAGAACATTCTCCCAAAATTTCAGCTTTCCAGCTTTTCTGATTACCGAGTTAGCGATTTTCCTGCCAAAACCTTCACATACCCGTACGTGGGTACTCCACG